CCCGCACCTGGGCGAACTCAACGAATTATATATGGACACGCACACAGGAAGTGCACAGGCATATCCACACGTGCGCAAAATCTCTCTGAAGAGAAAGCCCGGGAAACTGGGAATGTGGTCGCTTACTTCCGGGAAAGGCCCTCGAGAGGCTGGGACAGGGCCGCGTGTGACCGTTCCCAACAGGTACCTTTTGCATCTTGAGCCAGGAGGAGGTACAGCTTTTTAGAAACGAAGGCACACAGCCCAGGAGAAGAAAGGAAGAGAAGGCAGGAAAGGCATAAAGAAGATGAATATAAAAGACAGTGCCAACAAACAAGGGGACCTGGAGCCGGAGGGACTAGGTTTGAATCCAGTCTCCATTCCCAGGGTCCCTGCCACAAGAGACAACATGCAGAGCTGACACGGGGTGCAGCCCCTCGGGATGGCAGCTCTGGCTAACAAGAGTGGCAGTAACAACAAAACGGCAGCTCTCACTAAGCCACAACTTCATGCCAGGCACTGGGTTCGGGTTTAACATGTTCCTGCCAGCTTGAACCACTGATGGTTCGGAGCCACCGAGCAGCGAGACAGGAATTACGGCCCCGTCTCGAACGTGTTAAGGACCCTCCTGTGTTACCATCCTGGCAACCCTTGGAGGCAGGCACTATAATTATTTCCATTTTATAGAAAGGGACACAGAGACAAAACAGAGGGGAGAGGACCAGCCACAAGTCACTTGGGCCTGGGTCAAACCCAGGCAGGCTGGCCCTGAGTTCACAAGCTCTTCCGCCTGACACAGCCCGGAAAGAGCCAGGCTTAGAAGGAACAAGAGGCCACTTCTGAAGGCCATTTTTGTGGATAATCCCACCACTGTGAAAGGCTGAGGCAGGAGGATTCCCAAGTTCCAGCCCAACCTGGGCAACTCAGCACCTTAGTAAGGCCATCTCAAAATAAAAAATAAAAAACGGGCTACGGGTCTAACTCAGTGTGAAGGTCCTGGGCTCAATCAAGCCCAAGGAGAAGAGGAGGGGAGAGGAGGAGGCTGTGCATGGTGAACCACACCTAGCACTCTGGGAGGCTGAGGCAGGAGGATTACAAGTTTGAGCCAAGGCTGGGCAACTCAAGAAGACCCCATCTCAAAAGAGCTGGGGCTACAGTTCAGGGTGAAGGCACTGGAAAAAAGGGGGAAGTGTGTTAGGCACCAGCCCAGACACAGGTCTCCAGCCAAGCCCGGGGCAGCCTGGAAGCCAAGCACAGCTGAGCAAAGGGGCACAGAGAGGCCAGCAGTGAAGGTAGGGCCTGCTGGGCTGCTGGACACTGAGCCCGCTGAGACATAGCACAGAAGTCCACATCTAGCTGCCCGGCACAGCGTGGGCCACGTGCGGCCAGCGGCGTGGTACAGGGCAGGAGAAAGGCAGTGACAGCAGCACTGTTGGCAGCGAAGCCACCCCTCGCGATGCTGGGCTGAGCTGACCCTTCCCTCGCCCTCTGAGTCATCAAAACTAAAAATAAAGCCCAGAAATGTGGAAAGGGAGGGCCGAGTCCAGACCGTCACCAAACACCCACGGAGGCAGGGTACGGCCCAGAGTGGTCCCTGCACTGCCCAGCAGGGGCCCCAAACCCTCCTGCCCAAGGCTCAGAGCCACAGAGCCGCACACTTGGGAGAAGGCAGAGAAAGAGGCCCTGTCTTACGGGGCTGCCAGCACTGAAGGCAACAGAGCTGCGCTGCTCCCCCAGGTGCCCGGAGGTCACCGTGGGCAGCTTGTCAACCCGCTTCGACCTGACTCTCCACAGGGCCCCAGGCGGCCCTTCCCACTCATCCTTGTTCCAACTGTGTTGCTCATTTCCCCCCAGCCACTCATCAGACCCTCGGGCTGCACCAAGCTCCTTGGTCACAAATCCCGGGGCTCATGGGGCTCAGCGATGTGCCAGGCACAGGGATGTGTCTGGAACATGGCAGTAACAGGACATGGCATTCATCCCATGCACTGGCCCTTGAGTGAGGGTCAGGCAGTTAACAACAGGAGAATGGACTGCACCTGCCCTGCTGGAAGTGACGCCCAAGGAGACGGAACAGACAGTAAGATAAAGGACAGGTGATCACACACACACAGAGTGCATGTGTGAGTGTGTTAGATGAAAAGGCCTCAGAAGAGGAGGACTCCTTGCTGAGCATGTGCATTTGAATAAAGGATCAGAGGAAAGAAACAAAGGCCTAAGCCAAATAGTGAGAGGGGGCGGGGGGGGGGGCTGCTCCAAGCAAGGAAAGAGCAAGTGGAAAGGTCCTGAGGCAGGACCATGTTTGGCATTTCTGACCAAAAGAGAAGCTGATAGGTCTCAACAGTACCTGAGAGAGGAGGGCATGGAGGAGACAGACTGGGTGGGGCTCACAGGCCATTACAGGGATCCTGACTGTTACTCACAATGACGTGGGGGCCACGAACTGGATGTCCCATGATCTGATCTACGCTCTAACAGAGTCTCTGTGTGCGCTGGGCAAGTGCTCTGCCACTGAGCTACAGCCCCAACCCGGTTCCCTTTTCAGAACAGGCCAAGTAAGCTGACCACATCTCGAGGCTTCCACTTAAAACTGGACCTTGCCACGTGGCTGCCCCACACAGGAGCCTCCGCTCCCTGGTCCCTGTTCCCTTCCTCCACCGGGTGGAGCGCACTGTTTACCCAGTCCTACCGACAGCCACTTGGGTCATGGCCAATCTTCTGCTACTGCAAACAATGACCCAATGAATTCGCTTAGGGACTGCTTCTTGAGCTAAAGAAAACAAGGGTGGGCTGGGGATTTACCTCAGTGGTGCCACTACCTACCTGCAAGTGCAAGGACCTGAGTTCGATCCCAGGCACCAAAAAAAAAAAAAAGAAAACACATAAACAAGCCTCAAAAAGAGACTTCCAGATCACCTAAGGCAATCCCAAAGAAAACGAGATGGAACAATCTGATACTCAACTACCTGGACTCACGGAAGTGGCAACAAAAGAGGATCTGGAAAAATGAAATCAGAAATAATTTCCCAGATAGCAGCAGAGATTGTGTCCATAGTGCAAGACATGATTAATAAATCTAGAGCTGACACAGATAACAAAATACAGGAGCTGAGGAACGTGATGGAATCCCAACACAGGAAACAAATACAATCCATAAAACAGATGCAAACAGATTTCCAGGAGATTAAAGATCTTATCTAACTTTTTTTTTTAAGTAAGGAAAAGCATATATTCATAAGTTTAATGGATATTTGTATTTCTTTTGTGAATTGTTTTTAAAAATTATTTGCCATCAGTATGTGGTGTCACATGCCTGTAATCTCAGCATTCTGGGAGACTAAGGCAGAAAGATCACAAATTCAAGGCCAGCTTGGGCAATTTAGTGACTTGGACTATCTCAAACTAAGAATAAAAATAAAATTTAAGAAAAAATGCTGGGGATGCAGTTTAGTATGAAGGTCCTGGGTTCAGTCCCCAGTACCTGTAAAATAAAATAAAATAAAAAATAAAATGCTTTGCAATTTTTTTCTATTGGATGATTAATTTACAACTATTGGAAAGTATTTTTGTATGTAAAATATAGACATATTTCTTGTCATATGCAGTTTTCATGTTTTCTTTTATTCCATGTTGTTCTGCTTTTAAAAATATATACACAATGGATCCATAGTACAAATATATATATATATATATATATATATATTGTTTTAAATTTCATGTAAATTGATTCATAGCTTTTTTATCACTTAGGTTTTTGTGTCTGTAATTAGCAAGACTTCTCAGTCCCAGAATACAGTAATTCCACATAGTTATTTTATGATTTTTATTTTATTGAATTTAAAGAACCATCTGTATGTCTTTAATAATGGAACTTAATTTGTAAAGTAAGAATCCTAGGCAGAAGTGGTAAACCTTTTGGGTCATCATAACACTGCCCCCAGTGCCCAAGAGCAGACCTTCCCCAGACACAGAGAAGGTGAACCTTCTGGGCTGCCATACCACCACCCCCAGTGTCGAGGAGGTGAGCCACGAGGGTGCCAGCAGCACACATCACCCCTCCCCCATTGGAATGAGAAGACACATAAACAAGTCTCAAAAGCAGACTTCCAGATCATCTAAAGCAACGCCAAAGGGAAACAAGATGGAACAATCTGATACTCAACCACCTGGGCCTCCCTGAACTGACAACAAAAGAGGATCTGGAAAAAATGAAATCAGAAATAATTTCTCAGATAACAGCAGAGATTGTGCCCATAGTGAAAGACATGATTAATATATCTAGAGAGGACACAGATTAAAAAAAAATGAGGAGCTGAGGAACATGATGGAATCCCAACATAGGAAATAAATTGAATCCATAAAACAGATGCAAACAGATTTCCAGGAGATTAAAAGCTCCACTGAAAGTTTAGGCAGCAGAATGAGCCTATGTGAGGACAGAATTTCAGATATAAAAGATAAGATTGCAA